GCTCTGGTTGACGTTGGTTGACGTTACAGGCTTCTCGGCCCAGTCCCCTGTAAGGAGCAATTTTTACTTCGTGAACCGGGATTTTGATCGCCAGTTAAAAATCCAGATTGAGCTCAAATCCCATTCTGTTGCCTGTTTTTGCATGTTATATGTTTCTACTTTTTAAAGAGAAAGATACGGGCTATGGGTTATAGGCACGTTAAGCTGAAATACCACTGTTCTAAGCCAATCAAATTGCGGAAATTTCTTATTTAGTAGTATAAAAGCCCCTACGAAATATCTCAAGGTACTTTAAGAGCCAATTCCCTATTGCTTCTTTTGGGGTAACAGAGATTTTTTGAGAGAGAGAGATATTTCGCCCGTAGTCAGAACTGGCCGGTCAGACCATGGCTGGAGCAGTCATTTTGACGATGAAAAAGGCTTTTCCCAAGAGTTTTTGCTGAAAAACCATCTCCTTTGTGCATAGTATTTAGGACTTGACAGATCTGGATGGATAGTTTTGATTAAAAGCGAAATTCTTGTTACTACGGGAATGGTCTGGCGGGTCAGTTCTGACAAATGGAAAACGCCCTAATAAACTAGTGCATCCTGATTATAAGTATTACCGAAGTCTCAGGGAGGCCCTTTTAAAGTCGTTGCATTCCTGGGCACGTTCTGGCGAACAGCCCAACTACTTTGTCGCAACCATTTTCCCTTGACCACTTCCTGTTTGCTTATCTGGTTTTTATTTCAAACCAAGCCGCGTGCCCTATAATATCCTTCCCGGCTACCGAGGCCAAGGAGAACTAACTCTGCTTGGACAGTACGAATCAAGGTACCAACAGCAGCTCCGGTGACCGACCCGCTCTATTGCTATTTAGCCCATGCAAAAAGATAGAAACGACACGTTTCTTTTTTCCTGCAAACGGTTCATCCCAGCGAGTAATGAAAGGGTTCATAACTTCCCCTTCATGTCTGATTTTTTTTTCATCGCGTATGCTTGAAGAGGTTGCCTGATTATACCGAGTCAGGATTTGAGCCAGTATTCGACGCAGGACTCGACAATATTAATTTTTCGCTTTTCCACCATTTCCACCATTTCCACAAGAAATAACTAGAACCTCCCAGACTTACAGGTGACAAAACTAGTCCGCGTGTCCTACGTGTTGCGCATTTCTTTCGCGTCGCGCGCGACCACCTTCACATGCGCAGAAAATGTGCGCAGTAATAATAGTGGGCACCGTCTTTAAATTTTGTTTACTTTGACAGCTGAAGCTGAAAGAGTTTTGTGTCAACTTGTGATGTTTTTAACTGCCTTTTTCCACTGAATGTACAAAGTGAAATTCAGCTGCTATCAAGAGTCTTCTGTTATTCATGGCGGGATCTTGTTTACTGTGGGTAATGTCGACCGAGATATCGGTCGATATAGCGGTCGATATAGCGGTCGACACTCGGTCGATAGTCGGTCGACACTCGGTCGACAGTCGGTCGATACCGGTCGACGCTCAGTCGATACTCGGTCGACACTCGGTCGACAGTCGGTCAATAGTCGGTCGATAGTCGGTCGACACTTGGTCGAGACACGGTCGTTAGTCGTTCCAGATGTATCTCTGTCGATATAGCTTTTCGTTCACCGATACTTCACTGACACTTCGCCGATAGTTGGTCGATATTTGACCGATGTATCGGTTAGTAGTTGGTCAACACTCGGTCGATGGTCGGTCGACACTTGGTCGATAGTCAGAAGATAGCCGTTCGATATATCGGTCGAGATTTTTGTCGGTCTGTATAGTTTTTAGTCCGTTACCAATAGCCCTGGAGAAGAAATTGGAGCAAAATTACTGAAATATAAACTGATTGCCCCCATCGACACGTGGAGATTCTTGGAAAATTCGCATTTTTGGCATTTTTCGGTCAGTTATGAGTCCAAATTAAACTACTCAAAATTAAACATGAAAGTATGCCTTTCTTTGCAAAGGACAGAGCAAAAAGAAGGATAATGTAATGAGAACGTATGAGTATTTTCCTTGCTGTAAATTGAAATCATTCCCACAATAAATGAATGTGTTCAGTCTGCTGGATATTTTGTCAGTCTTCAATGCAGAAATTTATAAGTTTAATTTGTGTTCTCTGCACAAATGAGAACTTGGCGTGATGAAGCAGGTCAAAGCCCGTTAATAAAAGATGTGTATTCCTCGCTCTTAAAGCATGTCATGAACTGCCTTTTCCTATTCATTATTCGTCCACTTCGGGACTGCGGGAGCAGTTGTTTCACTCGTCCTTCTTGAAGTATTCTTCGACTGCGGGACCACAGGAGCAGCCGATTCAACTTAGGCTGAGACAGGTTCTGTTCAACAGCTAAAAATCAGACGATCGGTGATGATACAAACTGAAAAAAAAGGGTTACCATGTCCTGAGTTCCCATTGCTCTTTGGTTCGCTTCATAGAGTAATCGCACCTCGCACTGCCACATGTTCTCCCATCGCATGATAACAGTAATTAATGACGTCTTTGCTTAAAAAAAAAAGCCATTGGACTCACCCGATAAATTAACACACGACTGATATTTGAATGACAGTTGATCGATATACCACCGACAGTTGACCGATATTGGCTATTGGAGGGAAAAGCTCCCCTGAACAATTTTGGAAGAACAGTTCTAAGTGCCGAGAAATACTGCTGCTACTCCCTTACAAGAGGCTAATAGGGATGTGCCGCTGGATGGGGTCGCATTTTCACGATTGAAGTGATTATAATGGGGTCGCAGTTTCAATAGCGTTACTAGAATGGGGTCGCAAATTTTCGGATTTGGGGGGTAAGTAGGGATTCAAAATGAGAAGATTCTCGGTTAAAAAATCAGGAAGTTGTTGTTTATTAAATTTAACAATAAGCTCGCATTGACAGCATTACATTCCGCCGCTTGAAACCATATTGATAGGGTCGATGTACAAAATATAGAAAGTGACAAAGTTGGGATCGCGAAAATAACATTTTCCAAAAAGTGACTAAGATGGGGATTATAGTTGGCCAAAAATAGACTATAAAGGGCTAGGGGCACTGAGAGGCCAGAGGCACACCCTGAAACATTGACCCAAGTACCACCCCCCCCCCCCCGGCCACTTAGCAGTAAAGGGTAGCAGAGAAATAGATCTATAATTGTCCGCGACTTCCTTGTTATCAGCCTTATGAACAGGCTGATATCAGTAGATTTCCATAAGGTAGGCATTACGCCGGAGCGAAGATAGACGGCTATATTCGCAGGCTCGTTCTTTCGAGGCCATGTACCAGCCGTAATCTATAAATTATATCAAATTTATAACCAAGGGCGCCAAGCACTAGCTTGATTCAAGGACACTTGGAAATCTTGAGTCGCTCTGTACTAAACATGTGTTGGCCGGCTTCACACTAGGGACCAAAGTGCACTTGAAGTGCACCCGAAGTCAAGTAGACTTGACATCTACAGTACTTCGGAAGGAAGATTCAATAGATTTTCAGGCATGACTGCGCGCATGAAAAGTCGCAAGGCTTCTAAATTGTTGTTTCAAATACTTTCTCATCTGTTGTGTTTTTTTTCTGCGGGATTATATTTTTAGCCCGGTGGGGCGGCGGGGAGGGTACTTTAGGAATTTCGGAGTGGGGATGTGCCGCTGGGACCCTGGAACCCTTAACCTATACCAGAGCTAGTTCAGCTGAATTTTGCTACCCTATACTAGAGTAAACTCCCAAATCCCCCTATCCTAGAGTAGCTGTTTTCCAGAAACTACTGAGATGTCACTAGCACAGTAGTCTAGCCAAAACAAAACCTTATACCACAATCCCTAGTCTAGATAAAATCTTCAACCAACTGATCAGTTTGCTGAAAAATGATACCCTATTCTACATGTAGACCCACATGATCTGATTTATAAACCCTATCCTAGAGTAAACTGCTTGAAAACCATACCCTTCACAGCGGCACAACCTTATATAGCCTACATATGGCAATACCCCCCCCCCCCCGGGATTTTTAGGCTCCCTACAGAAATACGATATATCATTCATTCTACTATGTTGACGTTGTTCGTGTCTGCAACTTGTCATGCTGAAAAGTCCACATTTTCAAGTGAAGTTAATTGTTCGCCATCGAATCAGTTTCATTTTTCTGAATAATATGTAGATTTAGCCAGGGCTAAAAGCGAAGCTCCCGTTAATAAATTTATAATTTAAATCAAACAATAAACTTGTAATCCACTAATCAGTTAACTTTAGGGCACATTCATGTGACTTTGAGGCAAATGCGAAGTGATTTTAGTGAAAAATAATTTGACAGTCCAAGAGTGAAACAAATTTTACATCGAGTAAATAGTCTTATATGTACACCCAAAAATAGCAATCATGTTCGATCACAGTAGATTACGCCTGGAAAACAAATTCTTCCCAAACAAAATAACCCAGTCACCACCAATATATAGATTTAGCCAGGGCTAAAAGCGAAGCTCCTATTAACTCGAATTTATAATTTAAATCAAACAATAAACTAATTAATGTATTCCACAAATCAGTTAACTTTAGAGCACATTCATGAGACTTTTGAGGGAAAGGCTAAGTGATTTTCATCGAGTTGATACTGTTAATAGCCTTATATGTACACCCAAAAAATAGCAATCATCTTCTATCACATATCAGAGCAAGTTTACTTTACAAAATCTTGCCAACAAGTCTGGGGACGTGTAAACCAACCTTTTATACTTTTTATACATCACATCTGAGGTGAAACAGTACCATGAGGCACTGTTTTTATCCGTACAGACCGCTATATCGACCGATATCTCGGTCGACATTACCCACAGTAAACAAGATTCCTCTGTGTTTACTCGAACTTGGCACTACTCTGCATTGGACCAGCCTATGTATATTTCATACCACGCCTTATGTAAAATAATACCACTGGCATACAAACTCTTTTATTTCACTATGATCGCCAGACCAACAACTCACAGCTTGAGCTTGGGCATACTGTGGTTTAAAGCTTCCTTTTAACTGAGGTATCAATCAATTAAACAAATTTATTTTTCAATCAATCAAATTCAGTACATAATTAGTAACAGCTATTAGGGTTGCAGTAGTATCAATGTACATTTAAAATATTACTTCGTTATAGTGTTTTTTACTATTTATTACCTTACTGTTTATTTACCGGTATTTGGTCACTTTCGGAACCCACTTCTTTTTTCTTCTTTTTTTTGTTTTTTACTCGAGTGTAATAAGCCTGTTAACAGACATGTATCTCTTACTGGGACAATAATGCAAGGAGGCTGCTTAACAACCCGAGAGCATGTCATTTGAATGGGTTAGTGAGTCATCAGTCAGCTAAAAATGTTCAAATCTCTCAGATTGCAGCTTACATAACTGCTTTGATATGTAATACCAGTGGCGGATTCAGAACCAGTCAGATTCAGGCCCCTTCCCTGGATCTGCCACTGAATACATACAGTACAATATAGTGACAAATATACCTCAACCTATATTAATGCTGATCATTTTAAGTCAGAATAGTGTAATTCCCCAATCACTTTATACCTGTAGTCAGTGCTTAACTGTAATAACTTTATTTTGATGCTGAAGCCCTCTAATCACACTTAACTTAACTCACTGACAACTCATTGATTCATAACTGAGGCTCACAGATTAAAAACAAAAAACAGGCTATTTCTTATACGACTTAGACAATTCCAAAGTATGAAAATTTTTGTGTCCAGGCCATTTAGTTTTTTCTTTGTTGAGTGAGCTCGTCCTTATAGGCCTTTTACAGTAGTTGATCATGTGATCAACTTTCGGCAAACACAAAAACAGTTTGCTTTTGAAAAATTTTGTTAGCACATGCTAAAAGAGCATATTGAAATAAGGTAACCTGTAAATTTTCAGCCGCATATCTCAAAAGTAGTGATTGCAATGAAAATAAGAGGGATTTGTATGAGGATTAAACAACTCTAGCCACCTAGTCACACTTGAATGGTTTTCCATACAAATCCTTGTAAAATTCGAAATTTACAACCTGTCATGAAATATTATTTCCTTAAGCATTATGGGGCTCAAATCTCCTTTCAATTCGTAACAGGCAATTTGACCCCTAAAATACGTAAGGGAAAGATTTAACAACAGTTTAATAATTTCATTAAATAAAAGAAGTGTTAATAGCGCCTCCAAAAAAGGCCCTGAGGGCAGTACACGCTACAGCAGCACTCAGTGACTCCTGGCACATAACTTTTGCCCTCAGGTGACAAGGATATCTTACTTTTTTCCATAAAAATCATATACTGGGAACCATCAACAACTGCACTCCATGATTTGTACAACCTCAGACAAACAAATTTCAAAGACTTTTCAAGGATTTTCCAAGAACAAATTACAGTTTTCAAGGACTAAGATTTATCTAATAAATCGGCATTCTTTAACCTCCTTTTGATCACCCTATTGGCTAAAACACGTCATGAAGTCATTTAAAATTTTTATTCTTGGACCATCATTGATCACATTATTTTATACTACTTTCTGCAACAAGACTTTCAAAATGACTCAGGGTATGCAGCAATTGCATCTGAGGTACAAAAATTGCAATTGAAATAAAGAAACAGAAATAAAATATTTTATACACACAAAAATGTTTTTTACATTACCTGTAAGTTTTACGGGTTCTAATACCGAGGATGAGCCAATGTGGCAAACTAATCTAACAAAACTATGATGTCTGGCATAGACAAGGTTGTGAATTTCAAGGGCTTTTTAAGACCTAATAAAGAAATCAAGTACTTTTCAAGGAGCCATACTATAAAACAGATTCCAGGACTTATATTCAAGACGACTACTAAAATAAAAAATTGTTGTACGAACCATGGCACTTAATCCAGAGAAAGGGTTCTCTTCTTGCCCCATGTAAGGGAATCCGGATTCCGGAATCCAGGAATTTTTTGCTTCTGGAATCTGGAATCCTGGGCTTTGGAATCCGAACCCCCTAGCAACTCCCGCCTGCCTCGGTTGGCCGTTTGGTCTGGTTACGGCACTGCTTACATGGCACAACTCTTCAAATTTCACAATTACATGTAGAGAACTAGGCAACCATTTTTTTTCCGCAACATCACCAAGTGTAATCTGACTGAAACGCTTGACATGAAGATAGCCCATACACCTGTCTTTGATTATGTTGGGGCTAATATTTGATAGATTTTGTGGCTGGTGATCAAAGAAATCTGCAAGTTCATACAGATAGTCTTTATCACCCACTTCTGTCCCAGCTATCAGTTCAAGCAATTTGACCGAGTCATTTGGAGACATACCTTGATTAAGGTCCTGTACATGCACACAATCACTCGGCAGTCTTTCTAAGGACACATGATTTTGCAGAGTAATGATGACAACAACTGCAGTTGCAATATGATCATTTCCAGGTGTGAGGTTAAGGTCGTTGAGAAATTCCAAATCTTTTACATTGTCAAAAATCAAAACAGGAAGCATGTCTTCCAGTAGTTCATCCAGTTTATTATAAAGAACCTTTATCTGACTTTTTTGGACATCAGCTTCCTTTACTAACAACATCCTCTCAAAATTTAGTCTGGAGCTCAGTTCCTTCACAATGTCTGCTGTCTTTCCCATCTTCATCCTGTTGACAGCGAAGACTGCATCCCTGAGACTTAACAAAACATGGTCAGCATTATCTGCTTGAATGGTAATGAAGGCCATAGGTCTCTTGTTATGTTTCTGTGATTCTTTAAGATGATGTACTACTTGCCTAGCAAATTCAGATTTACCTGAGCCTGGCCTGCCAGTCAAATACACGTGTATCACTTTTCTCTCGTGATCTTCACACATCCTCTTTATTTGCTCTCCCAAGGTGGAAACTTCCTTTTCACGCTGTATCCAGCGATGTTTTGGAGGCTGCAAAACATTGTTATGATAAATGCCCGGTAACTCAGCCGGAAACATTCTCTGCCAAATTTGACTTGCGAAGGGCACGATCGAGCAGAACGCATTATACAAGGGGTGATTGTGAATTTTGTACACAATGTAGATTATTACTATCACTGTAAAAATAACGTCGACACCTGGATGGGTTCTTCTGAATCGCTGCAAGACGTCCCTTGCCCAAGGAAAGTGTTCATTGACGAGGGAACGAAATGTTATGCTGCGTATTTTTAATAACAATCCTTTTACCAAGTGGTCGTCAAGTTGTGCTGACGTCGGCCTTTCCCTTGAATTGGAATTTGATGCAACATTTTTGCCCTTTTTCTGTTGAATGCTATCTGGTAGAGTTGCTCTACCGGTGGAACGAGTGTTGTAAGTTGCTTGGCTTCGAGTTACTGGCATGAATTCTCCAGCTTGGCTCTGAAATAACTTTATGAACTCTTCACTGAGTCGACGCTCTTTCACATTAAATTGACCGCGTGTGATAAGCAGGAAATGCGGAAATGCGAAACCCTCATCCTTGCTTCATCCAACACCGCGGCAAAACGTCTACGCATGCGCCAGGTTGAGCATTTCCGGTCTCCTTTTTCAGTCACACTTTCCAGTCCGATCAAAGTCTCCCGCGCGCTTCATTCTGTGTGCAGCTTGTGGTTCAGTTGTTCTGCTTTATGCTGCTCGTGTTTTTGACTATTTTGTAGTTATTGAAATTGCTTTTATGGATAACCAGGCACAGATCACTGAAACAATTAGTCGATTAGATTCAGAAAAGGTAAGATGATAATGACTCAGTGTGTAATTTTGGCTAGAGCGTCAGGTAAACTGATTTTCATTCACGAAAATAAAGTTTTTGACTGTTATTTTTCACTTAACCTGGCTGAAACTAAGACATAAAATTAAAACGTTATCATTGCAAGCTTGTGTATTGTAGTTCTAATTTTCAGTTCTTCAGTTTCTCAGTCTACATGTGTTAAAGCCGATTCAAACTTTATTTGGAAAACGACAACACACAATCGCTTTGTAGTTTTGTTTACCAGTGGGTTTTACCGTGTTTTAAAACGAAACTCTTCTGGGTTGATTGCCATGAAACATAAGCTTAATTATACTGTTGAGCCGGTTGGCAGCAAGTTGACAACTCTATTTATTTATTTTTCCATTCTCAGAATCAGAGAGCGAAAGCTGGTTCAGTGGCTTTTAGAAGTCGAACTTTTCATGCCATGTATTTAGCAGCTAGAAGTTTCGTGTTTGCATGAGATGCAGCCGAGCCGCACAGTCTGAAATTATTGAAGTCTTCAACAAAAGAACAACCATGTAAAAGAATTAAATAGGCATTTTCTTGAATGAAAGTCATTTATAGGCATGTTTAGTTTCCCGGTGACTGTAGTCATCAAAGTCAAAGTTGTTATTAAATCCCGCCCATCTTTTGTTTTGAGTTCTTGTTTTCTCTGATAATAAAACAAATTATTGAACGGACTAAAATTTTATTTCCTGGTTTTAGTGTTTTTTGTGATAATGATGACGTCTTTATGTTGGTTTCTTTCATAAGTATTGTTATTCTTTTCTTAGTTGTCGCCTTCTCCCAAATTAACTTAAGCCAAACCAGTAGCATGCAAGAAAGCCAGTAAAAACAAATTCGTCTTGTCGAGCGCTCGCGACCTACAAACTTCAAACATCATTTTCACCGTTGGTGCAAACAGATAACCATGTGGTGCAAAAGTTTGAGAATAGAAAAATATATAAGCTTTCGAATGAAGTGATTTTTTGGCCCCCCTTTTTTCTCTGTTTCGCCCTTTTTGCTTTTAAACTTGGCGCGACGGCAAAGTTATGCTTACGCTATTGGTTTATATACTAGACCGGAAATAAAAAGCTGACCGGATATTAAATTTTGTGCTCATGCGCATTGCGTTTTGCCGCGGTGTTGCTTCATCCTTGTGTGTGGGGAGATCCCGTACCCAGATCTCTTGTTGACACAGGAATGCGGGCTGTCGTCTGCTACTAAATAGCAGTAGGTAGGTTATGTATGAGGAATTCTGTACCGAACTAGTCCATGGGCCAATCGTGATTTTGGTACCAACTCGAGGGACAAAGGATGATTGCTGCGAATTGATAGCACATAAGGTGGAGATTGAAATTTTGGGGCGTATAGAAAAGCCGGAATCCGGAATCCGGAACCGGAGCCGGAAGCGGAACTGGAACCGGAAGCGGAACTTAAATCGAGACTGGGGTAAACTGGGAAGCACTGAAACCAGTTCCCGGTACCCGTGTGGAAATAAAATTCAAGTGGGCGTCTTCTGTTATCATTGTTTTGAGAACATTTCAGCACAGTGATCGTGATACCAAAGATATATTCAAAGAATCAGCCCATCCTGTTCCGCCGCGGACTCGAGCATAAATTCAAGGCACAACAACTTCACATTTTCACACGTACTCACATTTCAATCGATTCGTCGCTTTGTCGCGATCTGTAAATGAAAACAGATATGTTTTTGTAAAATAGTAACATTTTTTCAAACTCAGTAAAACGGAAAAGAATGAAAACTTTTATATTCTTACTCGTACCTTTTCTTAAAATGGCTCCGTGTTTCATCCATTGTGAGGGAAAGGCGGCAAAGGGAGGAGTATTCATGTCAATCATGATCCCAAGTTGTAACGCTCACGCGTATATGAAATTCTCGAAGAAAAATTTAGCGCCCTACGCACAAAATGCGACAGTGAAAAATATAATAACAATAAATAAATATAATGTGGGGATGAAAAGTCTTGATCGAGCAATTATTTTTAGTGACACTCTCAAGACAGAAACGTCTCCAATTTTTATTTCTTAGGTTCGGGTTCCGGTTCCGTTTCCGTTTCCTGCTCCGCTTCCGGTTTTTTCCATACGCCCAAAATTTGCATGATAACCTTTCTGTAGGAGTAGCTTTCAGGGTATTTTTTTCATGTAAAAGTACCGGAAATGACCTTTGAGATACCAACCAGCCAACTAAATGTGCACTTAATATGTTCTATATCCTTTGTAGTTTAATTCATTTTGAGACATGAGAAGTTTTTTTGTTGCGTTTTTTCATCGCCAAAATATTAATTGTTCTGAATTTAACCAAAGTAGAGCGAGGAAAACTCAAAAGTAGCCTTCGAATAGCATTATGGGTAAAATCCAAAATGGCGGCTGCCATGGAAGGTGAGTGGGTTCTTGATTTGCCGGATTAATAGCCATTTTACCGTGTAAAACGCAATAATTTCACGAAAAGTCAGCAAAAGCATCTAGTTAATAAAGCGCTCAAACTTTTTGAGGCAAAAGTCTTTGAAGTTTTGACTTAATAAGCAGAATTTAGGAAATACTTACAGATCTTGTAGAATGTTTACTTCGATAATCCCATAGAAATTTAAGTATAATTTTTGCTCATATCGATCATACACATCTTTTTAACATTATTTGAATTATCGGTTATTCGGTAATGAAAATTCCATATGATATGCGCGCCATTTTTAATGCATACATACATATGGTTTCTTTAAACACGCTAAAATCATCAGTCTAAAAAAGTTAAGTGAAGTAAAACAGGAGCAAAAAGGACTGTGTTCCGGGAATCAGAAAACTAGAGAGCTAACAGGTTTATTTCCCTTTTGAATTGACTTAGCGATGTTGTTCTTTGTATGTTTTTTGTGGTAACTCATTCCAAATCGTGGCACCGCTATGGTGACAAAAAAAACTTTTGGAAGTCCAGCGTTTCGTAAATTATAATATACCGTGTGTGCTGTTATGTCCCCGTCTCAGTTGCAGTTGCATTGCAACTTAAACGCTGAAAAATATTCATCTGATGCAAATAGGGTCCTCATCTAAGAGAAGTGTTGATGATGCTGAGGAGTCAAATGCAGTCAAACGATTCTGCAAGAAGTGTATCATTCACTGCACCGACGATAGCAGTGAATTAGTTAATCCTAAAGACGAGGAGTCGTGGAAAACCTTTCTACGAGCAGCACAGATTCGAAATCATCAAGAAATCGTAGAACTTTCGAAGTCTTTAAGCGAAGGAGAAGTCCCGCTCATCCACTACCAACGAAAGTGTCGAAGCATTTTACGATGAAGAAGTTATTAGATAAATTATCCCAGCAATCATCCAATAGCCAGACTCAACCAGAACAAGTGGCTAGGAGAGTCTCTATTCGAGGATCTTCCAGTATTTCCACAACATGTGAGCGCATTTGTATTTTTTATGAAAAGACAAAATATTTCAAGGGTACAAGGAATCGTGAGCCTTTAGTACAATGCCGAGATACGCGTGCAGATAGCTCTATCATAAAGTTAGCTACACAAAAGAATGACAGCAAGATTCTTGCCCTTATGTCGGGCGAATTAGTTGCAGCAGAGGCTTGTTATCACAAGACATACTACAGGAGTTACACTAGACCAGAAGCAAGCAGTAGTGTGAACCCGGATATGAGCAGTGAATCTCCGGATGATGAATATGCTCGTCTAGAGTCTGATGCTTACCAGATGCTTTTTGACTTTATTAGGTCAGATGTGATAGAAAACGAGAAAGGCGTAAGGCTGTCTGAGATGACGCAGTTACTTGTGCAGTATCTAGTGTCATTAGGAGCTAAGGAGTGTAAGCCATCAACAAAGAAGCATATCAAAAGGAACATAGAAGCAGAATTCAATGAGTTGATCAAGTTTGAAAACTTGCTAGACAACAACCGTGTATTCCTAATCCCTGCTAGCCTAACACCAGTGCAAATCGCCAGAAATGTACTATATATCCTTATGGCAGAAAACGAAGACAAAGGCTAAACAACAAAGATCTCCAATGTTCAGCAAGCTGCAGCTGACATCTGCGATGCCTTTCGAAACGAAGAGAGCAAAATTTCATGGCCACCGCGCCCTTCAGAGCTCAATGACAGCGCCATAGAGGTCCCTGAAGAGCTAAGTGCGTTTTTGTATACCTTTCTGACTGGCAACAAAGATTCGTCAGAGGGAGAATGTTGTCAAAGAGTCCAGCGGTAGATGAAGTCGTTCGCGTAAGACCTAGTATTTGGAGTAACCAGAGGGAGGATTAAGCCACTTAAACAAATTCTTCTCTCGTATGCTGTAAAAACTCTCAAAAACAATGTTGAGCTAGTGTCTATACTAAACCGTTATGGTCATGGTATTTCGTATTCCCACTGATCTTTGTATGCAGAAAATGGCAACAACAACAAGTGAAATTCCTCTACCTGCCAATATACAACCTCATGTTAGTACCACATTAGCATGGGATAATATTGACAGACTCGAAGAGACTCTTTCAGGTGAAGGCACTTCACACCGTGTAAACGGCATAGCAGTACAGGCGAGAAATTTGGCCCCCATCCCCTCACAGAGCAGCCACCTGGGATCACCAAAAGTAAGCAAAGGAGTATTGAGCCACTTGATGTTGTTGCTCTACCCATTTACAATGCAGGTGAGCGTCAAGCGCCCTACGCCAAGAGCATATGTTGAAGTAAACGACCAGGAAGCGTTAGAAAATGCCCGAAGAAAAAACCTTTTGTGGGTTTTAGTGCGCCTACATGCACAGGTGAGCCAGAAAGTTAGTGGATGGACTGGCTATAACATTTTGGTGCGCAACGAAATTGAGGCTCGTCAAGATAATATCGGATACCTCCCCACCATTGATGCGCCTGCCACTAGCATATCAACTGTTCATGAGATTTTGGTCTGCTCCCAGAAGATAAGAGAAGCTCTTGAACTGAAGAGCATAGTACTCGTATTTGATCAAGCTCTGTATGCCAAGGCAACAGAGATAGCTTGGAAACATCCAGACAAGTTTTCAGATATTGTTATTCGGATGGGTGTCTTCCATACAGTGTGCACACTTCTGTCCATAATCGGAAAGAGATTCCAAGACGCTAGTTTAAGGGACGTTTGCATTGAATCAGGGGTAATTGCTGAAGGTTCTGTGACAGGAGTTCTTGAAGGACGTAGATACAACCGTGCTGTCAGGTTTCATAAACTGATGTATGAAGCACTCCAAAGACTTATCTGGAAAGGATTTCAGACGTGGGTATACGTAGAAGTAAAGTTCCGCGAGAAGAAACAGTTTATCCAAGATTTCTTTGCCGGATTGAAACCTTTATACGATAACCTGTGCCAAAAGGAACAACAGAGGGTCTTGGATAGTCAAAGTTTCCCAGAGTTTATCACACTGTACGATATGTACCTCGACTATCTACGCAATAACAACGGGAAACTATCTAGTTTCTGGATGTGATACATTGATCTCGTGGATATTCCTCTGAATATGGTGAGAGCATCAAGAGAAGGGCATTGGGAGCTACATTTATCTGCCATTGAACAAATGATACCATGGTGCTTTGCCTATGATAACGTAAATTCTGCCCGCTATTTACCTGCATACCTGTCTGAGATGACCCACCTCGAAGAGACCCATCCTGAGGCTCATGAATTTCTTAAGTCTGGTGGATTCTCGGTCCAGATCGTTGACCAGAACCCCTTTGGTAGGGTTCCAGTTGATCAAACATGCGAGGAGACGGTCAATAAGGACACCCAGACAGCCGGGGGCACCAAAGGCTTCAGTCTTAAAGCAGGAGCAGTTAGCATGTATTATATAGTTTCTGAATTTCGCAGTATTTTTTTGAAGCAGCTGAGGGACATGCTAAATCTAAGCAAATCCAATTCTGCGCATACTGATCTTCAAAAAACAAGAATTGCAAGAGACGAGGCTGACGTGAAGTCGCTGATTGCTATGCTAGAAAGCAACTGGATAAATCCATTCAGTGCTGAGCAGCAGGATTTGGTATGTTTGTCCACCGGAAAGGTTGCCACCCAAAAGATAGAGGAAGACCTGTTGGGCGCAAAAGCTACCGGGGAAAAGGCATACAAAGAATTTCGTGCACAGCGCTTGGAGGCAAATCCGCCAGTCAAATTTCACGAGACCCTGAAGAAATCAAAGCTGAAGACATTCTCTGAACTTAACAAGAAGGTGAAATTCAAGAGTAAAACAGCAAACGAGATCATCCTAAAAGCTGATAGAGCTCGTTTTGGTCAAATGGTTATAATTGCAGAAAACAGACAACTTCACATGAGAGATGTCCTCTGTCATCCGTTGGGACCTCTTCCTTGGGCACTATCCGTAGTAGATGGGTCACTACGGAAAACCAGCAAAGCAGCACTAGCAAAGGAGCTGCAAAAGAATGTACCTGCTGCGGAGGAAATTGCTCAGCCATCTGCATGCATCATAGATGGCATGGTACTAGTTCAAAGGTTGAAAGGTGACCATAAGAAGTTTTCGGATGTTGCTGAGTCCTTGTTTGGAATTGTTCTACATGAGGGTGCGTCCTCGAAGAGAATTGACGTTATCTTCGATGTATATAGGGAGAATTCAATTAAGAATACAGAAAGAGAGCATCGAGGGGCTGAGTATGGAAATGAATTTAGAAATCTCCAACCCGACCATAAGGTGCAGCATTGGAGAAAGTTCCTTCTGGATCCACAGAATAAGAAAGCCTTAACAATATTTGTGTCCAAAGAATGGAAACAAGACAAGTATAAAAAAAAAGCTCACAGGCAAAGGTCATATTTGTAGCCTGTGAAGAAGAGTATCACCAAATCTCAACAGAGGCTCCCTTTACCGTCGGAGAACTTAACTCAACACAAGAAGAAGCTGATACAAGGATTCTTCTTCATCTCTCTCATGCAGCCAGATCGGATTACAGCACATTGATTGTGGCATCAGAAGATACAGATGTCTTCGTTCTTTGTGTGTCATTCAAGCATTTAATTCCGTCGTCAAGTGTGGAACATAAACAAGAGTTAGATACATCAGCATCACGAGTATAGTGCAAGCCCAAGGTCAAAATTTGTGCAGCAGTCTCCTTGGCATGCACGCTTAAAGTGGTTGCGACACCGTGAGTGCTTTTGCTGGGCGGGGTAAGATTGGTGCACTTCGAATCGTCAAAGAACAGAGATCCTTTCAGGAAATGTTTGACCTTTTAGGAGTGGAATGGGAACTCTCAGATGATCTATTTCAGATGCTTCAGAATTTCACCTGTCGTATGTACAGTTCCCGCCAAGGGACAAACAGCATCAATGAGCTAAGATATAGATTGTTCTGTTCAAAGAGAGGTAACATCGAGTACGACCAGCTACCACCTTGCGCTGATTGCCTGTATAAACATGCGTGTCGAGCAAAGTATCAAACAGGAATCTGGAGGCGAAGTCTTAAGAACTGCCCTGAAATTCCGAGTCCCTTAAGACGTGGCTGGATTCAGGATGAGAACAAGTTAGGGATTGATTGGATGAGTGGTCAGCCAGTTCCTGCAACAGTTTTAGAGCTACTCTCTTCTTCTTGCACAACATCTTGTGGGCTCCCGAACTGCAGCTGCCTAGCGAATGGTCTTAAGTGCACAGGCATGTGCCGGCTCTCCGAGTATGATAACAGGCAAGAAGAACAAGTTGTCATAGTAGACGTCGATGCTGATGATGACGAGAGCGACGAGGACTAGAATATGTGGTCTCTCAGCATATTTGCCGTGGCTGTCGACATGATATATTGCCCACAGAAGAATACAGTCATTGCTAGTCGCTGCTACATTTTAACATATGACTTGCTAAATGTGCACCCAAAATACATAAAAACAAATGGTCATTGTAAGAGGAACTATAACGTTTTGCATGTCACCCTCAGACATCCAAAAAGTATGGCTTCGCAGAAAAACCACAATTAGTGCTTTTGCCGGAACAGTTTGCAACTATGGTTTTTTAGTTTATAGTTTTGAGAGCAGCTTCTTTCACAGCTTGAATTCTGAGGATTTTGCATGTTCCTTACAGTTCTGATCGTTTTGGGGCACTTCAGGGGACAAAATTGGCATGTTTGAAAATCAAAGATGGCGGATCCAATATGGCCGCCAAAAAGGTAATGTCATAATATAGCAGCCTCATAGGTAGCTATAACACCTGAGTCAAACTAGTATCTAGTTGTCATCTAGAACTATCATTTAACAGTTTTTTCAAGCAATTCATCTTTATTACTTTAGTTAATATCGACCCTCTAGTTTAAATGGCTACTTTTCTATATTACCATGGCAACAAACACCAGAATTCATCTAATTTTGCTACAAAAGTCTCAAAAATCACTTGCAAAACAGTGGTACCATTTAATCATCTAAACGTGTCCCCAAAACATGAGTAAAAACATAAGGAAAAACTTATGTATGTACATTTATTTGACATTGTAGAAAGCCGAGTGACGTCATTTCATCACGTAATAAACCCTATAAAACTACTCATTTGACGTGGTTATCATACATTAAAATAAACTAGAGGAGTCATAGTTTTTAAAAATATAAGCCACTCTTTGTCCCTCTTTTTAGTACCAAATCATGAAATTTGAGGTCCTGGCCCATGGACTAAACGTATATAATTTATTTTTCCCCAGAAAACATATGCACAGTTAATTTTGTTTCCCGAGAATCTCAATGTTCCGCCGAGGGAAATGTTGAGATTCAGGTTAATTCCATTTTTCTAGATCCAGTAACTGAGAGTGAGGTACATAAAGAAATCTTAAAATTAAAACCAAACATTACCTTATTATAGGAAATTAACGCTCCATGAAATTAACGCGAATCGTTAAAATTCGCGTTAATTTAAGTCGCGTTAATTTTGTTGAGCGTTAATTTCCGCGACGTTAATTAAGTGCAGCGTTAATTTCCGCGCTCTTAATTTCCAGTATCTTAACCCCAATTTTGGAACTTGTCCAGATATTCTTGACACCCAAAAAACATTAACTACAAGCTTTCTTTCTTTCCATTTACCCTTTATTTTTCATCTTTCACAAAAGCTAGGGGCGAAGGTTTACAATATTTCGAGTTCATCTTCATCATTGTCGCTGTCAGAAGTGATGTCAATATCTTCTCCTTTGATTTCGCGTAATTAATCGCGTTAATTTCCTTTATTATGAAATTCTAGCTCCTCTTTCGCGTTAAGTTTGCTTTATTCGAAAGTCGTTTTCCATTAAATTCGCCTTAATTTAAGTCGCGTTAATTTCCAATACCTTAATTTCATGGAGCGTTAATTTCCTATAATAAGGTATGTTAAGGAATAATGTTAAAAATTTATGTCAATACTATTAATATGCCTTTGTTGTTCACATGGTTGGTCTTCCGACTCGCGTCAATCTAACCTCTCTTTCAAGAGCCAATCATTTCTATCGCCCTAAGGGAGTGTTCGTATAAAGTAGAATGCATTCCCGCGTTCGCCCCCTCTTGCTTTCACCATCACGGCGATTACGTCTCTGCGTGAAATCTTTTTCTTGTCAGGCAAGTCCTATTATTTTTTTGTAACATCTCTATAACACTTAGCTCTGTAACCGACTTAGCGCTTTCACGCCTGCCATTTTTTCGTACATTCCATATTCATTTTTTTAAAACATAAGTCCTGGGGGAGCCTCGTGTGTTGATTCTCGGACACTCTTGTATCACGTCTTGTATCCACTGTTTAAATAGCTTCATTGTTGATAGTCCACTTCTTGATCATCGTCTTCTTTTCCACTAGGCCGCCCAATTTAAATGGCATGGTGTAAGGGGCCGAACAGTTGAACTAAACTATTCACTGTGATCTCAGTCCGCGTGGTGAAGTCGTTTGCGCCCATTATTGTTATATTACAGTTGGGAACTAATGATCTTTCCCACCTAGATCCCTCAGTCGTAGCCTCGGCAATAGAGGTCTTAGTAGGTATTTTGTACAACGAGCACGATGTGCAGCAAATTTGTGTTTGTCAAACGCTTAATTGCAAAAATGATGCTGCCTTAAACGCACGTGTTATTACGGGTAATAGCATGATTTGTGGTGATATTTGGCCTAAATACCGCGAGTGATATTTCGAAATTGTTTGAAACATCACGAGTGGTATTTATGCCAAATATCACGTACTGGTTTTGATACTGCTTAACCAATGGTTAAAGCTAACCATGCTTTGAGCAACTAAGCTCTGGTTGACGTTGGTTGACGTTACAGGCTTCTCGGCCCAGTCCCCTGTAAGGAGCAATTTTTACTTCGTGAACCGGGATTTTGATCGCCAGTTAAAAATCCAGATTGAGCTCAAATCCCATTCTGTTGCCTGTTTTTGCATGTTATATGTTTCTACTTTTTAAAGAGAAAGATACGGGCTATGGGTTATAGGCACGTTAAGCTGAAATACCACTGTTCTAAGCCAATCAAATTGCGGAAATTTCTTATTTAGTAGTATAAAAGCTCCTACGAAATATCTCAAGGTACTTTAAGAGCCAATTCCCTATTGCTTCTTTTGGGGTAACAGAGATTTTTTGAGAGAGAGAGATATTTCGCCCGTAGTCAGAACTGGCCGGTCAGACCATGGCTGGAGCAGTCATTTTGACGATGAAAAGGCTTTTCCCAAGAGTTTTTGCTGAAAAACCATCTCCTTTGTGCATAGTATTTAGGACTTGACAGATCTGGATGGATAGTTTTGATTAAAAGCGAAATTCTTGTTACTACGGGAATGGTCTGGCGGGTCAGTTCTGACAAATGGAAAACGCCCTAATAAACTAGTGCATCCTGATTATAAGTATTACCGAAGTCTCAGGGAGGCCCTTTTAAAGTCGTTGCATTCCTGGGCACGTTCTGGCGAACAGCCCAACTACTTTGTCGCAACCATTTTCCCTTGACCACTTCCTGTTTGCTTATCTGGTTTTTATTTCAAACCAAGCCGCGTGCCCTATAATATCCTTCCCGGCTACCGAGGCCAAGGAGAACTAACTCTGCTTGGACAGTACGAATCAAGGTACCAACAGCAGCTCCGGTGATCGACCCGCTCTATTGCTATTTAGCCCATGCAAAAAGATAGAAACGACACGTTTCTTTTTTCCTGCAAACGGTTCATCCCAGCGAGTAATGAAAGGGTTCATAACTTCCCCTTCATGTCTGATTTTTTTTTCATCGCGTATGCTTGAAGAGGTTGCCTGATTATACCGAGTCAGGATTTGAGCCAGTATTCGACGCAGGACTCGACAATATTAATTTTTCGCTTTTCCACCATTTCCACCTCCTGCAAGTCACATTGGCTCGAGTCCTGGCTTGAAGTCCTGGCCCGAGTCCTGGCCCGAGTCCTGGCCCGAGTCCTGGCTTTGATGTTAGTTTATCTCATGCTTGACTAATTATTTCAGAACATGGAGTCTTGAAACAGCTGTCTTCCTTAAACCCCATCAAAGCCTTTGGCCCAGACCAGATTCCATCCTGGTTTCTCAAAGATTATGCCACAGAAATTCAAGTTGCTCCAATACTAACAGACATCTTTCAAGACTCGCTGATAGACAGTGGCAGTGTCCCCCGCAGGTGGAAAGAGGCTAATGTGTGTGCAGTTTTTAAAAAGGGAATGTTAGTAATCTGACCCAGCCAACTGTAGGCCTATATCTTTCACTTGTGTTGCATGGAAGATTCTCGAGCATATTGTCCACAGCTTCATTATGAAACATCTAAACAACTATAACATCTTAACAGACTGTCAGCATGGTTTTAGAGCAGAGAAATCCACAGAGATGCAGCTAATTCTCACCTTACACGACATGGCAA